GTAGTATTTTAAAAGAAATCTAATTGACTACAAGACTACAAAGATTTATAACCAATTAAAATATTGATTAAGAAAATATAATAAAAATTATTAAATTAGATTCAAATGATATTTTAATATAAATAATAATTTTTTAAATCTTGCTAAAACCCTTATTGTATTATGGCTATATGATTAGGGTTGTTAAAATGACTCTTTGTTCGTGAACAGCTCATGTTCGGCTCGTTAAGCAAACGAGGCGAACACCAACACACTTTTTGAGCTCAAAATATAAACGAGCCGAACACGAACGAGTCATGTGAAATTTATGTTTTTGCCATAGATATTATTCTAATACTTTAGTCTTTTAAATCATATTAAAGTTGTCAAAAAATTTCTTGGGATTTATCAAGATTTACTCAACAGCATAGTAAATAGTTTTTCAGAATTTAACTCTTTCATAAAAGATTTACAGGATTTAATAAATCATGTTTTGCAACCAAACAATCCCTTTATATCTTTTTGTAGGTGAATTTAAAGAGGATTTAGTTAAATCTTAACTAGCGATTAATCAAAATAAATATAATATTATTTTACATGCATCTTCAACCTCATTTTGTGGTAAAGATAGTTCAAGTAAGGTTTAGCAAATCTTAAATTCTAATTTATATTAAAACCCTTTTGATACAATGGATATTAGATTTTATTAAATTTTGTGAACTTATTTAACAATTTATTTCAAAGCATTTTTTAAAAAGTTATAAATTTAATATTGCATATTAATAATATAATTATTAAATTTAATTAAGTTTACATTTATTTTATTTTAAGTAATATTAATTAATAATTAACTATTTATTAAATTTATTTTCATTAATAAAAAATTGTTAAAATAATTATTTATTAAGTAGTATTTTAAAATTCATTCTTTACTTAATAATTAATATTAATTATGCTTATTAAAATTTAATTATAATTAATTTAATTTAATTTGGTTAATTAATTATGATGTTCTTATGATCTGTTTGGGGCAGCTACAGCTTAGTTGCCCCAGTAAGTTGTTGTGGGAAAGCTGCTACTAGGAATCTAGCAGACTGTTTGTTTCAGGTGGTTGAAAACAGTAGTGTGACAGTTATTTTTGTACAAATGACTATTTTGCCTATGTGTAGTAATACTTAGAACTGTTTCGACCAAGATAAAGGTGGAAGATAAAATTCAGCTGATCTCTCTTTATAAAGTATTGTGTTGGTGTATCCTACGACCTTGGCTGCACCCACAACTAACAAACATAATGGCAACATACAACTATAGTAGACGAAAGAAACATGAATACAAAATCTAAACCACAAGATGGAAATTCAGGCAAGAATCCATTAATCCAAGACAAATATCTGAAGAAGAAACATTCCAATTTCCAAGGCAAACCAAAATCTAGGGAAAATAGGAGAATGTAGATATCTGACCTAATTAAGCGATGAAAGGAAAGTGATAATTTCATACTCTTTCGGAAATTTAACGAGACTAGCAGTCACCTCCCTCCACTTGCGACAAACGCATGCGTAGGCAACCACGCTCCTGCGAAGCAGCCATTGGCCCTTGCTCGCATCTAGGGCTGCAAGAAACATCCTCCTCATTAGCAGAAGCAATTGCGGTCGAAGTCCCTACACCTGTCTCTCATCGGAGAAGCAGATCGTCGCCATCATCGGACTGAGTTCGTCGAAATGCTTTTCTTTGGGTGGATAGTTCGACAGAGGAGCAGCCCTTTTTTGGAAAGAATGCCCACCGTCGAGACATCTCCTTCCTATCCCGATCTCAGGTGCTAAGGCAGAAGAGGCTCTATCGTGAGACACTGGGAGCGCGGGCAATGGAGATAAAAACCGATCGATAATGCGGGCTGCGGGGTCGATCCGGCGGCCCGCATTCCACCTATTTTAGCGGCGAGCGGCCGCAAACGCGGCATCCAAACAAAAAAAGTTTCTTAAGCTTCGCAGTTGGTGCAACGCAGCAAGAAATACGCGGCCCCAAACAGACCCTTACTTATCAAATTTATATAATCATAATTAGGTAATAAAATATTTATTAATTATAATTTATTATATAATTAAAATTAACAAAAACAAAGTTATATTAAATCCCACTTAAAACCTATCTTCCCATTCCACTTCTCCAACCAAAAACCCTCGCCTTTCTTCCCCCTCCATTAGTGTTACCCGAAACCATTGTCTATGTTTACCTTCCCCCTTTAATGCATGAATAGCTCACAATATTGTCACAAGTAGAGTTAGCAGAGAAGACAACGATGGGATCATAACCTACAAAATAATCTTATCTTCCTCCCCCTTTATATGTTTGGCAAGATTTAGAGTAAAACATGCTCAAATCATGCGTGCAAACAACACCAAAATCTAACTATTCTATGGGTTAGAGATATTTTGAAAATAAATCTTTGAAGGGACGAAAGGAGAAAATACCTATGCCATTAAAGACTTCAGCTATAATGCCTTTTTCCGACTAGTTACTTCTTTTTTCCTCTATGGTTTAGATAGTGAGGGTTTCAAGCAAGAGGGGATTAGGTACAATATTAATTCATTAATAGTTACTTAAAAATGCTAAATTAAGTAAAACAATATTATTTGTGATTTAATTTGAAATTCATATCTTTATTATTTATGAAATATAAATTTATGAAGATATTATTTTATATAAGTTTTTTTTTTTTGTTTAACTTTTCTAAGGCGAGATTATTTTTTGTGATTTTAATATTTTTATAATTTATGATTAACAATTATATTATCTAAGATAATTAGTGTTGAATTAATTAAATTATGATTGATACTTATTTGATAAAGAAGTGATCACTATAATTAATAAAGAAGAAGGATTGATTAATCTTTAATTAGTTAATGAAATTATGTTTAATGATTCATTTGCTTAGTAAAAAAAATTGAAATTAACTGATGAATACTAAAATATAATTAATGATTGATTAGTTTAGTGAATTCCTACTAATATTTAATTATCTCAGTAAATAAGTAATTACTTATTAGTATAGTAAAAATTTTAAAAAAATTAATTCAAATTAAATTAAGTTTAATAATTTAATCATCAATATTTAATACTAAAATCTTATTTGATCTAACAAACTTAAATCATGTGATTATTAGCCACAAAGTTCATCGGGAGTTAAACATTTTAACTCCTATCATACCAAACACTTTTTTTTATTAATTATTCATAGCTTTATTAAATTTGGAGTTTTAAGGCTTATAGAATTCTATTTGATAAATGTACAATCAACTAAAAAATCAGGGTTCTAATAATTTTTGGGATTTACACACTCATTCTTCTTAATCATTTATATATATATATGATAATTAAATTTTAATATTTACTTATCTAATATTAAACTTTTAACATGTCATCCAAAATATCTCAAGGAATATTCATTTTAAAGCAAAATATGCTCTTTCAAGTATATGTTTTGTTGGGATTATGACACTCTTAAGTATTGTATCAATAAATATTGCAGTGTAGGTATTATATATGTAAATACATAAAAATTATATGACATGTATTAAAACTCCTAAATTTTTTGGAGATTTATATATATAGAACTCAAAATATTAGTATTTACCTATTTTACAACTAAACTTTACTATCTATAGATTTAATACTTAAAACATCAAAATAAAATAAAAATAACACCTAACCATTATGTCATGATGCAACTCAATCCCCTCGCCCCTAATCTGAATGCCAACCTTTGCTATGATATAGTCACATGCCTCACCTTTTTTGAGCCCAAAGTTGTTGCTGATCCCGTTGCCTCTATTTCTCCAAACTCATTAAATCACCGCCAACCTCTCCATCTCCTAGTTATTAAAATCATTGTTGTTAACTTATTGCTTTTGAGCTTGCTAAGTAATAGCTAATCTTACTGCCTCTGAAGTCACATTTTAGACCTCGCCAGCTCCAGTGAGATCTAACCCACCTTGGTGCCTCCACGCTTGCCATGTCACCACTAACTTGATTGACAACCTTAACACCACCAAAAAGATTCATTAATTGAGTTAGGATAGTGCTAAATGACATAAATAGTGAACTTTAGGTGTTCAATAGTTAATCCTAGCCGTTTGTGTTATATAATTACATTGCTTATTTGACTCAAATTTAAGTTTTGAACATCTTATTGAAATAGTTGCAGATAATTTAATAATAAAATAGATAAGACAATCCAATAAAATCAAAATTTTTAATGATTTGATCATTGATCCTTCATGATTCTTAGCTAAGGAGAGCTTAGTTGTGGATGGATCAATCGAGGATTGATTTGGCCAGCATAGTTCAATTTTCTAAACTGTAAAGATCATTTCATTGGGTTCTTGAGAAATTGTTGATCACTTTGCTAAGATAATTTCTACTCTATCTTATTCCTTAATTTATATTGAGACACTATTTACCCACTCAAGTCAACATCATGTTGTATAAGCTCATATGGGAAGCCATTTTTTGATGCTTCTAGTGTCTAATTAAAAGATCAAATG